TGTTCGTCTTAAAAAACTAAACAAAATGACTTCTCGAGTTTGAGAATCGGAGAAAAATTGCGGCCTCAGAGCTCAACAGACTTTTCTTTCAACTGAAAGCAACGAAATGCTTGCCCCTAGATGGTAGGCAAATTGATTTGCACGGCTACATTTCACGTGGTCGGTTTGTTTTGGGATAGGGTAAGATAAGAAAGTGGATAGGGACGCAACTCGGCCGTCCGAAACAAGAAAATTATCTCCAAATAGTGAACAATATGTGTTTTTTGAGCGAAAATCGCAAGTAGAATACTGAAGACGAAGTCTGACAAAAAATGGGTGAAAATGTAATTTGTTCGGCGTCTAAAACTGAACATTTTGCCGTATCGTTTTTGAAAATCCGATAAAAACTGTAATTGTTATGACAATTTTTGTGCTTTAAACGGGTTAAAAACCATTTTCGCTATTGAGCCGGTATTCAAAATCGTCTCAGGACAAAAGGCAAAAAATAGGGGGTTATTTTTTTTCGGTCTAGAATCGATTTTTGAGCGGAATTGGACAATCGGAAAACCTTCGATTTTTTTTGGGCCACCCTAAGGTCAGCTCTGCTTCAAGCGACGACGAGGAACCGGTAGCACCCAAGAGATCGCGCAAGATGGGGACGGGGGTAAATGCACTGTGTCTGGTGTGCGGTGAGGAGGGTGGACCCAATATGAGAGCGCACCTCCAAAGCGCTCACACACCCTCAGATTCTTATGATGGAAGGGCAATCGTAACATACGTTGCAATAAGAACACTACACTAAAATAAACACACTACAATAAAATTCATGCGTAATACGATGAAATTCATGCGTAATACGATGAAAAATTAAGCATATTACGTATGTGCAAATTTATGCGTACCTTACGATGAAAAAAACCATCGTAATACGTATAAGAACGATCATAAGATGTTGGGTGTGCAGTGCCTACCTTGCACCGAACCCAGTCCGAGAGGCGGCGTTGGTCACCAATGTCGAGAAGGAGTTGAGCACTGTTAATAACAGGAAAAGTAGCGATATACACCGGCAACTTTGGCCCGTCCCGTACATTAAGAAACGTACGAATTTCTCCTATGTTTGACCCTGACGGGAATTAAATCTGAGTCTGGGGTTAAAATAAATGTCGTTTTTGTCATCAGCACCCTCAAAAACATCAGAAACAATGCAAAAACTCGAAAAAAAAGAATGTTCCAAAAATACCCCGCTGGGATTTGAACCCGGGTCCGAACTTCTCCGATTTGCTCGAAACTGGCACCATTGGTTTTCTCTCGTCGCCCCGATTCCAAAAATACCCCTACATGCCCTCCTAGCTGCATCCGTTGCCGAGATCCTCCTCGACCCCATGTAGACCATGATGCACCTGCAGCAGCGCCCCCGGGGCTCGGATCGGATTTGCTGCCACCGGGCGGTTCTTAGGGTCACCCAAGGAGGCTGCATACCAAATTTGGTCAAGATCGGACCACGGGAAGTCCTCGGACGAACGAACGAACGGACGAACGAACGAACGGACGCACAGCATGCATCATACTATATGCCCGTCCCTCCGTCATTTTTTTACAAAAAATAAACGGGACGGGCCAAAAAAACTTCCGTTCTCAAACAGAGCGGTTCAGCCGTAAGCAGCCAAAATACTTTTGCTTGTTGCCGGGAAACGAGGAATATTTGGTCTAACCTGAGAGTGTCTTATGATATACAACATGTCAGATGACCATTTCAAATTGTAATACCGTCAGTAACTGAAACCAGTTCGGTGAAAATGACGAACAAAGGTAGGAATGACTCGCACCATTTACAAACGGAAAAAGTAACGCAAATTTTGAAAACAATGGCTACCGTTTAAGGATTTAACAGAAAAAGGCGTTATGCGAATGATGTTTTTTGGCCCGTCCCGTTTATTTTTTGTAAAAAAAATGACGGAGGGACGGGCATATAGTATGATGCATGCTGTGCGTCCGTTCGTTCGTTCGTCCGAGGACTTCCCGTGGTCCGATCTTGACCAAATTTGGTATGCAGCCTCCTTGGGTGACCCTAAGAACCGCCCGGTGGCAGCAAATCCGATCCGAGCCCCGGGGGCGCTGCTGCAGGTGCATCATGGTCTACATGGGGTCGAGGAGGATCTCGGCAACGGATGCAGCTAGCAGGGCATGTAGGGGTATTTTTGGAATCGGTGCGACGAGAAAAAACCAATGGTGCCACTTTCGAACGAATCGGAGAAGTTCGGACCCGGGTTCAAATCCCAGTGGGGTATTTTCGGAACATTCTTTTTATTCGAGTTTTTGCATTGTTTCTGATGTTTTTGAGGGTGCTGATGACGAAAACGACATTTATTTTGACCCTAGACCCTGGTTTAAATTCGTCAGGGTTAAACAAAGGCGAAATTCACACATTTGTTTATGTACGGGACGGGCCAAAGTTGCCGATGTATATCGCTACTTTTCCTGTTATTCGTTTGTGAACATGTAATTTCTGTTTCCAAACAGATTCTTGTTGTGAAAGCGCATTTTTCATTACCAAATAGTAAAATTTTGTTCCAGAATTATTATTTTTTGTTTTAAAACAGAGATTTGCCGTTTGAGAACATCAGTAGTCGTTTTTAAACTTTGCACGAATTTTTCATTCTAAAACGGCTGGATTTCTAACAGTGAGGGCTCGGCGTTATGCACCGGTGCCAGCCTTGCGGATCCTCTCTGAAACGTAAGACATACAAATAACATCAGTCGTATATCTGCGCACCTTCGATCAATGATAACAATGTTTCCTTTCAATATTCCCCAGCGACGTCAGTGATCTACGTAGCGGTGAGCTCGCAAAGCAGGCGGCAGTGTGGGACAAGTTCAGAAGCACCGTTGCCGCCATGCTCAGGGCAAACGTCCTGCCGATCCTGGGGCGCCGGTTCGTGCACTGTTAGGGCCGAGGTTTCATCAGCCCCCTGATGTACAGAACCTGAAGTACAATGTTCGTCCTCCTGAGATGCTCGGGCCGTTCAAGTGCTACTCCACGTAGCACCTTCGTTCCTGGATCATGCCATGTCGGTAACATTCATCCCTGCACATGTCAGGGGTCCCGGGCGACGTGGTGGGGGCTTGCTGCAGCCCGCCGCCGGCGGAGTGGGGGTGTTTCCCGCCTCCCCGCGCCCCGCGCACCCCAGCTCCAGTCCCGCTGGCCCGGCAGCGTGTAGTCAACAACCAAGCCGCCCGCCTACGCATGACGCGTTGGCCTAGTGGTTAGGCGAGTGGGCTCACGTCAGCAAGGTACCGGGTTCAAGTCCCGGCCCGGTCGTGGCCCAATCTCAGTTTCCTACATGGAGAAGGAGTAGGAGGAAAGGGAGGAGGGGAGGAGGAGGAGGAGAATAAGGAGGAAAGAGAAGACAGGATATTCAAGCGAAAATACGAGAACATTCTTTTGCGGACAGGAACACACTGTGTACATGTGAGTGGTAGCGCCTATACAAAGATGTAGCGGAAAGGGACGGGTGGGGGAAGCCACACGGGGTGGTTGAAAGTGGTGGGGGGTCGGCCGCGACGTGTGCAAAGGTGAATGTAATCCTGTTCCAAGCTACCCCCTTGCAACACCATGGTCCAGATATCGTGAATATGGTTACGTACATCTGGGCACGAATGACAGTGGAGCAACTATGAATACCCGGCCCTAACAGTGTGTCTGAAGTAACGCAGCTTATAAGTGTACCACAATCATCTGAACCTGCAGAAAAGGTCGCGACCTATGAGAAGTGGAACAGTAAGGAAGATAAAGCACGCAGGCGAGCCATGCGAGCAGCGTCAGTGGCCGTCAACAAAATATTGGCGAAGGCCTTCCCCCAAGGGGAACAATAGTTGTATTTTATGTTTTCTGTGCTTTTTCTGTGCTTTTCTGCGCTTCTGCGTTATTTTGTTCAAGAGTAATGGTCCTTTATGGCCTGTTTTCATTTCGTGAGTTCAAGGAGATGATTGGCTACATTATTTCTATTATGGCAAGTGACAAGTGGAAAAAGTTTTCTAGACAAGTTTGTGAAGAACTAATTTGTGAGATTCTCAAGAAGAAATTTGTACTGCCATCTGCAATGGTTGTGTAGTGTAGAGCACTATTGGCGATGAGGACGGATAAGTGACGAGAGAGGGTAGGGATTCACAGGGTTATTGAGGGGTCCGCACAGACCGAGACCAGGCTACAGACTGTTGACCGGCCCTGAGGGGGGCATATCGAGTGCGATTGATCCGCATGAATGGCTATTGTTTTCACTGGGTTGGCTACCCTGTTCGCACTGTTACTTCATCGTGCGCGTCGCTTCGTGCCGGTGGTGGGGTTGAGTCGCCTCGCTGATTGGCTCAAAAATCCTCATAAATGCAGCCACTGAAGACATATCTTAAGACCAAGGTTAATTGAGAGGTATGAGAAGAATCAGTTGTTTCATCAAACATGGCAGAATACCATTTGGCTTGATTCACCCTTCCGACGATTTGTTCTTGGATTTCCTTCCCGCAGCAATATATTAATTCATTTTGAATCGTTTTGCTAATATATGTTGCATTCTTATTCTTATTTTTCAGATGAAGAGCAAGGACTCCGTCACCAGATGCGCGGTACCTCAGCAATTGCCTGAAGACGCCCTCCTGAGGGTGAGGTGTCTGCGCATCAGTTTCAGAAGATGCACTGCAAGAAAAAGTGTGGATAGTACAACAAAAGTACAACAAAAACTGTACAATAAAAGTACAACAGCGATTGTAGAATGTACAACGAGAATTGTACAAACCACAACGAGCCCTGGACTGCCCAGCACTCGTCATGCCGGTTCCGTTGTACTTTGTACAACAATTGTTGTACTTGAAAAGTACACTAAATTCCTGATAAAAAATTTGCCAGAAATTTGTGTACTTTTGTTGTGGTTATTTTCTGCAGTGTGCTCCATCACTATCATCATCACACAGCATTCCATCATCCCTGTGGCCACGAAGAGGAAGATTGTTGCGACCACACAGGATAACCGTCTCCACAACAGGTCTTAGCCTTGATTTATTGTCTTCAATTTGGGACAACCGGTGCTCATTTAACTGATTCACCACATCTTTAGCAGGATTTTTGTACGCATTCATGAAACTTTGAGCCTTTAGAACAGATGTTTTGTGGTATTCAGTTTGTCAGTGAGTCATGAGATCGCCTGAAGCTCCACTTAAATCTTTAAAGGACGTCAGGGCAGTTCGGACCAAAAAGCCAAGGGAAGCATTGTGGTTGTAGCCACCTTGTCCTTGGACTGTGAACCACACGCAATATTTACAAAACAGGCCCTGTTTGCATGGAGAGTACACAAGCCATTCATGCTGCATGAGATACTTGCTGCTCATAAAGCGCCGCTTGGTGCCATGTGTGGAATAGGGAAATTTGAACAGGTTTGGAGGAGTCCATGGGTTTGTGAGCAGCTGATATTTGGTGAAATCATCAACAGTCTTACCTACAAATTGGCCAACGTCATATGTTTTTTGGTGTGTTTCAGGTACAGGCTCAGGCACCGGCTGAAGAACAGGAGGAGCTTCTACAGATTCAACAGATCCTAAGCAATCATCGGCTTCCACTTCAACGAGAAGAGAGGAAGAGGAAGGAGATTTCAAAGGACTGGCGCCGTCAGAAGCAGTTGTTGGTAAGTGTGCTGCTTTAACTACGTTGTCATCTACTTCCGGTACAACACCAGACTCCGTGACAGGACGCGGCAGACAGGAAGGTACTACTGTCACTGTCACCGATGCTTCAATCTGCTGCTTCTGTTGGCCAGAAGCAGCAGTTGAAGGTGAAAAGAAAGAACTAATGAGACTTTGTGGATGTGGATTTTTTTGTTTCAGCTTTGGCCGCTTTTTATCAGGAGGATCAAGGTGATCCATGTTGGAGATAAAAGGAAACGAAACAAGGAAGGAAGCTCAAAACTAAAAGATTCCAACACCCAAACACCCAGAACAAATCAAAACTTAAATGGCAGTGCAAGTGCAAAACGCCACACGTCTTGTCGACTGATCTCTCTTCAAGAAGACACTAAGAAGCGAAGTCCTAGTGGAAGGAGGAGAGCAGCTAACGAGCTAACGACGAGACGAATGCGCGCCAGGAGCACTGATGACTCGACTCGGCACGCCTAACAAAGCAATCGATAGAGGATCAGGATCAAATCAACAACCAATAGGGTATTTTAACGAATCCCTGGGCCGGAAGTCGAAGAACAAAAGTAAGAAGAAAAGCCGTTCCCCCTCCACTCCCGCGCTCCCCGGTATGAGAAATCGGTATGGCGGCGCCATTGTTTTGTCTGCGGAGTTAACGGACGCCGTTAAGAGTTACTTTAGGTAAATGTAGAAGAAAAAAGCAACGTCATCGTGTAAATTTTGCTGGGACCATTTTTAAATCCTATTTGAGTGATAAAAAAACGTCGTCTGCTGTGATTTAAAGTGTTCTTGATGATCAAATGAGGCTGGAATATGACAGCCGGGTAACATAACCCCTACAAACGTCTCATATATATAGTGTTTCAACGTTATTTATACACTAGCAAGTATATTGATGAATTAAATTATAGTCTTTATCTGCAAATCATCAAGTTTAACCATAGTTTAACCATCATTATTGACATTCCCCATCAAATAGCTGTGGACCATGGTCGTTGTGAGTACAAAATTGTACAAAATTAATGTCTTTTTTCTTGGACACTGTGTGATTTATTTTAATGGTTTTAGGAGTGGGAAAATACTGTACCTCCGCATCCAAAGAAAGTACTGTATACAACAACTCCAGCCGTGACATGGGTGGGACCGAAACCGGCTGAGTCCGGTCTTGTAAATGTCGGCAATACTTGCTATGTTAATGCAACGTTGCAGGCAAGTCTTTGAACCATACATTTACACTCTTACCTACTGGCTTGTTTCTAATGTTTTTGAATTCTTTGTAGGCTTTAGTACACCTCCCTGGATTTGTGGAGTTCCTTCAAAATGACAAGAGCCACCGATCCCGATGCTACTCTCTACTTGATTGTGTTGAGTGCGCCCTTTATAGGACGTATCTGAATATGAGCCTTCACCCAATTTTCAAACCCCTGGGCCTAGTCAATTTACTACCAAGTAAGTCACATTTAAGTTACCCTCCTACTTTAAATGGAATATGTTTTGGGTGTTATGACAATTTATTTTTGAACAGGAATCCACAAAACATTTAGGAAGGGGAAGCAGGCTGATGCGCAGGAATTCCTGACATTTTTACTGAGTAGTGTTCAAGATAGTCTTGTGGCAAGATGCAAAACAGAGTAAGTGTTTGTTATTTCCCTTATTTACTGAGTATGCATCTCAAGTTCATCCTTTCTCTGACAAACTTACTTTGTTTCAGACTTGACTTTTGCTCGAAGCAGACCACTGCTATGGGGAAAATATTTGGCTGGTGGACTGAATCACATGGTATGTGCACAAGCATTTACAGTATTTTTTTTTCTGTTTTTGGTCTAACTGCACCTGTGGTTTCTTTAGCTTCATGTATTGATTGTGAGGCGACAAAAGTGACCTACAATCCTTTATCTATAATTGCACTGCCACTGACGGTTGAAAGAGGACATGATACAGCAGTTTTTAGATGTATAGAAAGTGTACAAGATGCTGTTAATCATTACATGGATGAGGTTGAAACTGTAGTGGTAAAATGTACACCAAAGTGTGCATCACAGAAAGCTTCAAAAAGTGTTTCATTCCATTCCTACCCATCAGTGCTCACAATTATGTTCAATAGGTGTGCAAAATCTGTCTGGTCTTCGCTACTGCTTTAAATATAGTTTTGTGGTGTATGACTGTTTATATTTACTTATCTTTGCATAATTTCCTTAGGTTTGACAATGATGGGAGGAAAATAACATTACCAGTAAAAATTGACAAAACCTTAAATGTTGGGAAAGCTGTTTATAAGTTTGCAAGTGGAATAATCCATGAGGGCCCACTTTTGATGGAGGGTCATTACACCTGTCTCGCTGTCCGACACGATGGAAAATTGATGCACTATAATGATTCTGTGGTAAGCATGTTTTGTACTGTTTCGTGATGTTCTGTCTCCTCTAAAAGATTCAGGAAATATCTACCTATACTATTTTCATGGAAAAGAGTACTGCAATTCTCTTCCTTCTTATCGTTCATTATTCATTGGTTATCTTTTTGTTTATAATTATTGCTAGGTAACCGATGGCGACTCACATTTTACTTCTGACGTCTCTACAACGGGTATATATGTGGTGTTCTATCAGCTGCATCATTTCAAGGTTTTTAGGCATAATCTAATTAGTTTAGCTCATTATTAATTGTTTTTAGTTGATACTTATTTTTTGTTGTAACTTGCAGCCTGAATCCTTGAAGAGAAGCGCCCCCAACACCCCCTCTAAAGCAACCAGTCCATTTCACAAAAAACAGCATGTCGCCTCAGTCAAGAAGTCTTTTGAAAAAAAAGAAAGGGGAAGATGATGACATTTTCACGAAAAAAGATCAAAAGGAAGCTTGGGGACTTTGTCAAATATATTTTGCCCTTCAAAACATTAAAGTCTGAAAAGAACTGTGATACAGATAACTTAGCAATGGCAAGTTCATGTGACATGGGTTTTCACCCATTTTTTTTAGAAAGTAGCGTGTTTGTGGGCTACAGTATAAATTTGTGTTGCAGCCTCTGGATGGAACGACTGACAGAGAGAGCAACATAAATTCAGTGCTTCACCACAGAGGAACTACTTCACCTAAGTCAACTATTCTCTCAATGGAAGATGTGGTAAGTGTCCACTGTTTTCAATTTTGATCCAATGCGAATGTGGGCTGCAATTTCTGACCACATTCTTGCATTCAGGGATCGGAAGACACGGCTACTGCAATAGTCACTCCAGTAAAAATTCCAATTGTACTTCAAAGGGATAAAAATTCACCCATTCTTGCTCAAAGGAGAAGAAGCCTTGTTTTCAATTCAACAGCACATGCAAATTCTCTGAATCCTTCAACTACCGTTCTTAAGAAGAACATCACAACTTCTGTGAGTATTGCATCTTCCCTACTTCAACTATGTAAGTGTGTTTCCTAATAATTTTTTCTTCTAATGATTTTTTTAGTTACTACCAAGTACTCAAGATGGTGGGTTAAGCCCTTCAACCTCATCTGAAATGACAATGAATGCACCTATCACACCTCTAAAAATTACTCGTTACCCCAGAACTGAACCTAAGTCAAGTGCATCACAATCATCTCATGAATACGTATTGCATAAGGATTTGGATGAGGTAAGTGTTCACCTTTATTCAAGAACAACTTTCTCAATCATTATTTTAATGATTTTCACAAAAAAAAATATTTGCCAGGTCTTTTCTCAGTCTTCACCAAATGTACCAATCGCTCCCATAAGAATGAGTGACTCTCAATCCATCAATGAATATGTCATACATCCTACACCTCCATCTGTGAGTTCCTCATAGTTTATTATGTTCTGCATTCCTAAGCTGCCTCTTTATTTAGTTTTTAATGTTTGCTTTTTGTTTCCCAGGAGAAGAAAGAAAAAAGTAAGGAAAGTCCTACAGTTGATAACAGTGTAGAGAATTCAGTTACCCTGACACCTAAAGACGTGCCTGGAGGCCTTCTGCCAAAGAAAAAATTACAAAAAAATAGAGTATCTCAGTTAGAGAGGTGGCTTCTTGTACGTGGTATTACCAAGGATAAAAAGGATAAAAAAGTTGACCTTATTAAAAAGTATGCATAGTGTGCCAGCATTGCTGTAATTGTTCCAAATGTAAAATTATGTGCACTTGCATTGGGTCACGTCAAATATTAATAAAAATTTCCCCTTTCTTGTTGCAGGGTTGAAGACTGCATTAAAAAGGGGTTGGAGAATACCATTGATCCTACTGTAGATAATGGCAGATGGTACACTGCGAAGCAACAAGTAAGTCATGTCGGTTGAATGGGCTGTCCCAAGGTTGCATTCCACCTCATTTTTAGGGGTTCCCAAGAACCCCTATTGTCCGAGGTCCGTGGATTCTTCCCCCCCCCTCTCCGATTTTCAAATAAACAAATCTAAACTATTCCAACCATGAAAAAAACGAAAATTCCAATTTTTTTCGAAAATTCATCGTGGAAATTTTCCGTAAACGCGAAAAACATAAAATTTTCAACAATCGAAAACGAGAACCGTTAAAGATATAAAAAATGGTTCAAATAAAAAATGCGCCACTCCTCAAAACTAAACCTCCTGGCTCATCAAAGTAACAAGAAATCGTATATGTTCTGAGCAAATGGTCAAAACATGAAAAAAAATCTCCATGGCAACGGCATGGTCCCATCGTACCACCCGTCAAAATTTAAAGTCGCCCATTAAAAAAAATCTAAACGCCGTGAAATTTGAAAATGCTAATGCTAACACATTGCACGATGTCTCAACGTTGGAACATGTTTAAAGTCTGTCACTACTAAAAAGTTCGTAGCAGAAACGACGCATCAAATTTATTTTCGTGGGTTGGCACCAATATGCTTGCCGTCTGCGCCCTTTCGAAAATCGCGAGGCTGAAAGAACGAACAGGCGCCCATTGAAACTGCCCCTCCATTGTTGCTGAGGTTGGATTGTTTGGCATGCTCTCAAAGGCTGCGGTTGTCTTGTCATGTTTTCCTCGATTTGCAACCAGTTATGGAAACGGGAACACCGTGCAATGCGATTAGCATTGGAATTTTTTTTTCCCTTTTTGTAGAAATTAAGGAAACCATTGCCAGAGGCTGATCCTGACCTCCTAAATAAGATAATCGAAGGACTGGAACCTCCTTCAGAAAAAATTAATCCTGTTACTCTAACAGCTGATGATGTCCCGGGTGGGCATTTACCTCATAAAAACATATCCCAAAACACTCTTCCTCATTTGAGGAGGTGGCTTGAACTCCGAAATATTCCCCACGTTGGAGTAAAAAAAGATCTGGTCCAAAGGTATGTGGAAGATGCAGTAATTGGTCTTAATTGTATGGTAAAATTTAGATACTAGCACCCCAATTTCAGCTTGTAACACTTTGTGTGTGTGACATTTTG